ATAGATGTTCTCGACCGCCTACCATTATTAATTAATTATCAATGCACATTCGCAGTGGGAACAATCATCCTTTGCCTAAATACAATCGCATTAGCCGTGAATTCACGCCTCGTTGAACAGAGCGAAGACATTTCTAAAGACTAAGACTGAAACGACACATTAACAATTGTGAGAAGAAGAGAAAATAAAAGTGTGGAAAAAAAATCCAAGATATATCACGCCGTATTGTTATTTTATTGAACTTTGCCCGCAGTTCCAGGATATGAAACAGGATTGATTTGATATGATGTGATTTGAGAGAAGGTTCTCTTTTGTTTAACGTGCGAAAGTGCGCCAGCTGCTGCTCTCTTCAACAATGAATTTCCTAAGGAACCTCATCCAGGTGAATATTCTCATTACGTTCTACTAACTCCTCGACTGTGTGGAAACCTCAACCCGTGTGTGAGTGATTGGAATGAATGAAAGAGAGAGAGAGAGAGAGAGAGAGAGAGAGAGAGAGAGAGAGAGAGAGAGAGAGAGAGAGAGAGAGAGAGAGAGAGAGAGAGAGAGAGAGAGAGAATAGAGAGAGGAGAGCGGGAATAGAGAGAGGCGAGAGATAGAGAGCGAGGAGAGAGGGGAGAGAGAGTGAGAGGGGGGAAAAGAGGGGGGGGGGAGAGGAAGGGGGGAAGAGAGAGAGAGAGGGGGGGAGAGTGGGGGGAGAGAGAGAGAGTGGGAGGGGGGAAGAGAGAGAGAGAGTGGGTGGGGGAGAGAGAGTGAGAGTGGGGGGGAAGAGAGAGAGAGAGAGGGGGGCAAGAGAGAGAGAGAGAGGGGGGCGAGAGAGGGAGGGGGGGAGAGAAAGAGGGGGGGAGAGACGGGGGGAAGAGAGAGAGAGAGAGAGAGAGAGAGAGAGAGAGAGAGAGAGAGAGAGAGAGAGAGAGAGAGAGAGAGAGAGAGAGAGAATAGAGAGAGAGAGAATAGAGAGAGGAGAGCGGGAATAGAGAGAGGCGAGAGATAGAGAGCGAGGAGAGAGGGGAGAGAGAGTGAGAGGGGGGAAAAGAGGGGGGGGGAGAGGAAGGGGGGAAGAGAGAGAGAGAGAGGGGGGGGAGAGAGAGAGAGAGAGAGAGAGAGAGAGAGAGAGAGAGAGAGAGAGAGAGAGAGAGAGCGTAGAGAGAGGCGAGAGATAGAGAGCGAGGAGAGAGGGAAGAGTGAGGAGAGAGGGGAGAGTGAGAGGGGGGGGGAAAGAGGGGGGGAGAGGAAGGGGGGGGAGAGAGAGAGAGTGAGGGGAAGAGAGAGAGCGTGTGGGGGGGAAGAGAGAGAGCGTGTGTGTGTGGGGAGAGAGAGAGAGAGAGAGAGAGAGAGAGAGAGAGAGAGAGAGAGAGAAAGAGGGAGAGAGAAAGACAGAAAGAAAGAAAGACAGAAAGAAAGAAAGAGAAAGAGAAAGAGATCGAGAGACAGAGTCAGAGATTGACTGATTGAGAAAGGGGGAGAGAGAGACAGGTGGAGAGGAAGGGGGAGTGAGAAACGTTTGTGTGCGGCATTTGCCTGGATATCCACATTAGATATCCACATGATGCAAGTGTGCATATGATCCCAAAATGAAAGGTGACGGAAGTTCAAGTGCATGAGGAATTTTTGGAAATATCTGCTTAATCATTGTGTCTTCGGAATTAACCGGAATTCACACTGAGTCATGAACAAACACCCACACAAGTATGAAATGACACGCACCCAGGTAAACCCTTCAAAAAAATAAAAACGTTAGTATGCTTGTACTTAAAGTTACCGTCACACTTCTAATTTAAATCAGTCACATTCACTTTCACATTCTAGAGGAATATTGTATGTAATGTAAAATTCTAGCTTACACAATCTTACATGGATATGCTCGGGTATGATCGGAAAATGCATGCAAGCACACGAAAGCACATACGCACACGCATACATAAACAGTCATGTATACGCACGTACTTGCGCGCGCGCACACACACACACACACACACAGAGAGAGAGAGAGAGAGAGAGAGAGAGAGAGAGAGAGAGAGAGAGAGAGAGAGAGAGAGAGAGAGAGAGAGAGAGAGAGAGAAACACAGAAACACACACACACACACACAGAAGCACATACGCACACACACACCCAGCCCCCCACCTCCACCTTCATCCCCCCTACACCCACCCGAAAACTGAAATGAAACAGTCTGCCCTTCCATTCCCGTCGTCCCCGTTTTCTATTCCCGTCACGGCATGTAAACAAAGCCTGCGGTGGAAAGAGAGAGAGAGAGAAGAGCGAGACAGGTGGAGAGGAAGGGGGAGTGAGAAACGTTTGTGTGCGGCATTTGCCTGGATATCCACATTAGATATCCACATGATGCAAGTGTGCATATGATCCCAAAATGAAAGGTGACGGAAGTTCAAGTGCATGAGGAATTTTTGGAAATATCTGCTTAATCATTGTGTCTTCGGAATTAACCGGAATTCACACTGAGTCATGAACAAACACCCACACAAGTATGAAATGACACGCACCCAGGTAAACCCTTCAAAACAATAAAAACGTTAGTATGCTTGTACTTAAAGTTACTGTCACACTTCTAATTTAAATCAGTCACATTCACTTTCACATTCGAGAGGAATATTGTATGTAATGTAAAATTCTAGCTTACACAATCTTACATGGATATGCTCGGGTATGATCGGAAAATGCATGCAAGCACACGAAAGCACATACGCACACGCATACATGAGAGAGACCGAGTAGAAAGTCGAGGAGGATTGCATCATTACCTCGGTTAACAGGTAGCGTGTCCCTCGAGGGGGAAAACCCCATAATGTCAGCTGTGAATGGCGTTCGAGTCTCGAGTCTTGAGTCGTGTGACCCATTACAACCCCCCCTCCCCCCCCGTGCGAGAGTGAGTGACCCGAATATTAGAGTTCGGGAGGGCGAGGTTCCTTTCCCCCCTCCCTCCTTGCCTGACCTCTGACCCCGAGAAAAAAAAGCCTCGAAGGAAACACCTCAGTCTTGCTCCTCAACCTCCCTCAGGCACAGCACACCTGCAAGCACCAGAGCAAGAGGCAATATTTTTTGTTCTCTCTCTCAGTTCATGTGTTTTTTTTTTTTTGCCTTTAGGAGATTCGAGTGTTTCATAGTTTTCATGTATTTTGAGTTTGAGGTGTACATATATATGTATATGGTGCCTCAATACATTGTATAGAAACCCACCTTTTGTGATGTGTATAGTCATACTTTTCTCATGTTAGAAGAAGAGTGCTAGATAGAAGGATTGAGTGATAGGCTGGAAAATATAGTTGTCTATTTTAGTGTATTAGGCCAATAGACAGAAAGTCGGTGCTTATTTTTTAAGGTTAGAGTAAAACGTTGAGTTGCAAGTCAAAATTTTGAGGAATTTTATATCATTTGTGTGATGCATTGCAGAGAAAACAAAGGAAGGGGTCCTTTCTATGCTTTCATTGTTAAAACCAGAATGATTGTCATAATTTGAGAGAAATTTGAAGCTAAGAGAAATTGTGGAGGTAAATGAGCTAATGACGCTTGAAAACGGTTTTTTTCATGACGTACACTAGCAGCCATGGGGCTCATGAGGTTTGTAATGAAGTGATTTACCTGCAAGATTTCAGTTTGTGGAAGACGTGCAGAATTAGTGGTTGTTTAATCACAGAATTATTTTGTATTTTATCCACAAAATTTCCTGTTTCTTTGTCAATTAAGATGGTATTTAAGACCATAGTTAAAAGACTGATTTAATTCATAAGGCAAAGATGATTGGATGGCCCATCATGTTACATTTTTATATACACATTTACTGTTTCTCAAAATCTTGACTTCAAGCTTCTTTAGTTTCACCAAGAATAGTAATTTTTCATATAGTATATCCTGTATCTTATGAATGTAGAGCTTTGTTCCTTAAGCCCCAAATATTTTTGCAGGGTACCCAATCTGCCAGCAAGACAGACTCTGGGCCAAAGAAAAAGGTTGGAGGTTTTTAAAAGAATGCCTGAATATTTGTTGTTGTAAAAAGCATGGTGTTTTTTTTTTTTAAATTGGTTTCAGTAACACAATCATCATTTCATATGGAAGGTGGCAACAGAGATATGTTTCTCAGGAGAAGGTTACAGGACACTTAGACATTGCCCAACCGTATGGATATTCCGCTACCTAAGTTTTGTGACTAATAAAGCTTTCAGGATGCAATTTTTGTGGAAGTGACTTTCTTCGGAGCATGAATATTATCAAAATTATTTTGATGATAAAATTTTAATTTGTGGCTAATAGCTTCATGATCAAATTGCTCTTGTGTTTGCATGGTTACTGTGATAATTGCAAAAAAAAATAATTTTATAAGTGTGGAAATAGAATATTGTACAAGAAGTGAAAGTAATGATTTACAATATTTTACCTTTTTATATTTTTATAGCTATAAAATGATTTGTTTAGTCATTTGAGTAGGTGTTTTATTTTATTAACTGTATTTGACATTTGCAATTACCTTATTTTATCAAACTTTTTAAAAGCATGAGGTGATTTTATTATTGAAAATACAGCCTTTCTCACTGCATGGTGTTTGTATTTACATTTTTTTAAAGAAATCTATTGAAGCTGATAGTACCTGAAAAGCCTTTTAAGCTATTCATTTTATTTTATACACAGGAGTAGCAAAAATATTAGCCATTATGAGTTAGTGAAGAGAATTCTGATAATGATTTCAGGGTGCACCAGCCCCTCCTGGCCTAGGAGGACCTGAGGACAACCCAGAAAAGGAGGCTGATGACCAGAAGGATACCGGTGTCGTTGCACAGTCCGACGTTTGCGTGACTCAGCCTTCGTCTCCGTCGCTGCCTCCAACTAACGTTTCCTCCCCCAGGTAAGGAGTGGGGTGCTGATTTAGATAAGGAGTTGTCCAATTTAGAAAATGAATGTTAATCCCTCTGTAAAATGAAGCATAATAAAACTTCTGACTTCCCCAATTTTTTTCGTAATTTTAGTCAAAATAAGGATTCTTTTTTTCAGTAGGAATAGATTATAGATAAGTGTTATGACATTGATATTTAAAAACCTTGAATTTGTCTGCCTACAAGTGTGAAGTGATTCTGGTCATATAAAAAAAGACTGCTGAGTTTTGAGAAAAATAAACATAGTAGCAGATATGAATTAAAGCAGTTGATTTGTTATTGCAGAAATGCAATATATATATATATATATATATATATATATATATATATATATATATATATATATATATATATATATATATATATATATATATATACATATACATACATACATACACATACACTTTTATATTTTGAAGTTTATGGTAGCTTGTGGTACTTTGGAATAAAGTAAAATGGATTTAACTTTCAAAATTATTGATATTAATTAATTCATTATGTAAGCAAGTTATGAATTATAAATTTACAGTTCCAGTAAATGTTTTATAATCTGACAGTTAGGTATTTGGCAATTTAATTTATTCCCATTTACATGCACAATAAATGAAAAATGAGTTGGTGACTAGTTTCTTAACGTACACATCTGTGGTATGCCAGTGGCTAACTGTTGACATTTAGGCTGAGATTGTGGGAATAAAAACAATTGTGAAGTCACTTGGATACACACACACACCCAGTTACACACTATATTAGATGTGTAGTGTTTTAAGATATTAAAATTGTAATTTCAGTTTAACCAAGGAATGTGAGAACACTTCTGTTACTGAGGAGACAAGTTTTGCATCTTGCCTAACTGAGGAGACAAGCACCCTCTCAGAATGCTGTGTCCTGCCTGCTCAAAATGTGACCCCGGCCAGTGAAGCCTTGCGTGCTCCAGCCAAGGAACACCAGGCAGATCTGTTGTCAAATTCCGGTAAGCAAGTTTCAGGCGTTGTTTGAGATTTCATTTCTTTTACCTCGGTTGGTTTATCTCTGTTTTTTTTTATGTATTATTGTTTGTAAAGGTTGTCGATCATTTTTTATTTGTCAGATCATTATGGTGTGAAGATGAAGAGGGGAATTTGGTCTTGTATTACATTGATTATTATATTTCTGTGGACAGTATGTGAACACATGAGTTGGGTAAAAAAAAAATGGGGTGTCAGAAATCACACAATGAAAACTGGTATTTGGATTTTTACAGTTGAATTTCATATGACTGGCTTGGGGATTTTTTTTCTTTTCTTGTTCTGGCCTCCAAGGAAACAGGTTTGATAAGAATTGTGCATTTTGATTTGGTGTATGTGAAGTTTGCAGAGCCTGTGAGAACTCTAAAGGCAAAGGTGCAATGTTTTTTCATAGAGTATGTGAGTGCGAGAGTTTGGTGCTCTACAAAGAATAGTTAAAGGTGAGAAGAGTTGAAAATCTTAGAAACGAGTCAGGAGGTTATGTTGTAGATTGGGTTACACTTCAGGGATAGTGTGATGTTTCTGATAACGGTGATGCCGACTGTAGGTATCCTGCCACTTTCATAGGTAAATGTTTCTGAGTGAAATGTGAAAAAGAAATGTCTACACGAACAGCACCAAAAAAATATAGACTGATACTTGGTATAATCAGCTTTGTGAAAAGAACTTTGGAATGTTACGTGTAGAAGTGTTGTCCTCTTCGTGTTCAGAGATCAAACCTGGAAGACTGTAGTATGTCCTTTTTTGCAAGTGAAAATGCTGAACATGCTGATTGTTGAGCAAGAGTGCTGATGTTGCTACTGCCCTGTAAGCGACAAGATTCCGTAAATGAAGTAGGACTAAGATGTGTGGGTGCATTCACATGCGTGCACTCGTGTATGTTGGTGTTTGCTTTCATGCATACTGAAATCTTAATTAGGATGTGCTCAAGCTCATTGTCTTTATTCATGTATATCTATGATTACTAAGTAACTTTTTGTTAAAGACAGGGTTTTGAAAAGTATATAGAAAATATATAAAAAACTATGTCTGATGGTCAGAGTGTGTGTGCGTGTGTGTATGTGTCTATTATGTATATGTATGTATGATAGAAAAACCCACAATTAATATAGTTTCACATAGTGTTTTTTCTACTATACTATCAACACCGTAGAGTGTTTTACCATTCATATGTATGTATATGTATTTTTATATGTATATACACGCATATACATACATATAAATACAGAAGCAGGGCAACCAAATCAGTGAACCTCAGAATGATTGAGATGAGAGAAAATGCATGAGTTGGAACATGGAAGACATACGAGAGAGGTGCGAGGGAATAAATGAGAGGTGGATGAACAAAGTCTTGTCAGCAGAGTCAGCAAAATGGATGCTGTGCCTAGGGACGAGAGACATCGAGTCAAGAGAAAATGACTAATGGATTGAGAGAGAGTTGTTGTATCACATGTCACCATAAGTAAAAATTTGACAAAAATCAACTAGAGACATATAAGAATGACACATAATGTGTCAGTATAGTTCACACACATATGTGTATATATGTATATGTGTGTGTATGTATATATGTATATATATGTATATATACAACTATACATATATATGT